ATGAATTATATTAACTGATTTTCTTTTCTTCTATGTTTTTTCCTATGTCTTTTCCAACCAAGCATTTGGTCAGATGAATTTCCACTTGATGACGAATGTCATAAACATGTTCCAGAATGCTCGACAGTTCTTTAGGAGAACTACTAAGAACCCCAACGCCCTAAATTTCAAAATTCTTGGACATGTGTGCAGCAATCGAGTATCTGGAGGTTTCGAGCAAAACAATCAAACTAAGGCTTTTGTAGATCCTGAATATTGCTTGAAGTTCCATTCTAACAGAGTTTGCTTTAGTCTATCGTGCCAGGCTCTTGGAGCTTGTCTCAAGCCATAAAGTGCCTTCTTCAATCTGCACACATGGTTAGGCTGATCTTTATTTACAAAACCAAGTCTTGATGATGAACTCGAGGAGATCAGGACTCGGCTGGTCACGGGATCATCAAAACTTCAAATTCTCTCCATTCTTGGGATGGGTGGAATCGGTAAGACAACTATGGCCAGAAATATCTATGATGATTTATCTATTAAAGATCATTTTTATATTCGTGGTTGGATAACTATATCTCAAGAATATAATGATCGAAAAATCGCTCTTTTATTGGTAAGTGTGTGGTCGTATGCTTCGATGACATATTGGTGTATAGTGGATTCGAGGAGTCTCATGGTGTGCACTTAAGAGACGTCCTTGCCGTTTTGCGCAGGGAGCAGTTCTTCGCAGCCTGTAACAAGTGTGTTTTCTATACCGACAGTGTACTATTTTTGGGGTATGTTGTGTCAGCTAGTGGGGTGGATAATAAGAGAGAATTTGGTGGCTAATTAATAAGCATTGACATTCTTTGTTGAGTACTAGACAAATTGCATGATGTACCATAAAGATGCTTATGCATTTTTTTTAGGGCTATCAAATATTTGACCCCCACACCCTATTGTTAGTGTAGATAAAAGATTAAGTAAAAAAGAGGATGCACATATAACATTGTCCTTCAAATAAATCGTCTATATTACTGAGAAGCTTACTAACCGTGTAGTAAGGAATTCGTCATCCAAGCTGGTGATGTTGACAGATCTAGAACCATTGAAGATTGGACCTCAAGGGGAAAACATAATAATAAACTTGATAAAAGGTATGATCTACCTGAAATCTCCATAAGTTCTTTTTGAAGTCGTTTAGTCTTTAATGTGCCATCACCACTTAAACTTTAATTTGTGTTGTTATCTGGTGCAAACCTTAGTCGCGATTTTGATAGTTTTTTCACTTCTATTCTATTTCAAACACTCAATTATTTGTTAGACCTGTTATATTAGGACTCCATCATATGTTAGACTCTTCTTTGTATTATATATATTAGGAGTAATTACATCTCTTGAGAGCATTCAACTTTTATGACCACTTTTTGATATAGAGAATTTTCCCTTTCTCTAATTGTGGTTTCAGTACAACAATATGTAATCCATTATATACAAATAACATTACTCATTATATTTATTGACGAAATTTTCATTGGTAAATTAATTTTGTTAAATTATTTGTGTTTTTAAATATTACTAAACAAAGTCACTTGCAATTTTATATTATTTTGCAATTTATTATTATTATTATTATTATTATTATTATTATTATTATTATTATTATTATTTTGTAAAAGTAATGTTGGACCGGTCGTTCTACAAATAATTTAGATGTAGTTTATTTTCTAGGATGTATAAAGCAGTCAATACCCAACTGATAAATATATAATTAGGTTAAATTCTTAAATGTTCTTAAATAAGAATTATAAACAACTGAAAGTTCCAGTGAAATTTAATTGTATTAAACAACATATGAATGAATTCTTGTCATTTAATTGTTTGCTGCATGAAAATCAGTAAAATAGATTTATGTCATCTAAGAACTATGGTTGCTATTTATTTATTTATTATTATTTTTTTTTTGAAGTGTTTTGAAACATGTTAATCACTTTGTAATCTAATACAAAATTAGAGTCACGATCTCCTAAACACCGACGCTTAGCATTTTGCAGAACGTGGATAGCTGTGGAAAGTTTAAATTAAGTCGGGTATTTATCTCGCTTAGATGTTATGAACTATAACCAAGCCACTTTCACTCTTGACGTAGCATACTAATCAAGAATAGGAAAGGATGATAAAAATTGATAGTGTACGAACATTTACTTATTGTTATTAACTTCTATCTCTCATATTCTCTTATGTCTCTTACTTACTAAGCATTTTATACTAGAAAGTGTGAACTTTTTTTGGACAAATATATGGGAACTCAAACCAACAAAATAGACTGATTTATTACCAATATATCTAGTGACATGAACATTTATTTTTAATGATCATTGGCCTATGTAATTAAGTGTACATATTATGCTCTTAATCATGGGATGTTTCAATTATGTAATCCAGATATTAATGTAGTGAATGCAATATAAGAAACCAATGTTAATTAAAAAAACAATAATAGAAGTTATACACAAATAAGTTTATGTGAAAATTGCACCACCTACCTTATTTTTAAAAAATACTTTGTAACTCTTTTTTTTTAATAAAAACCATAAAATAATAGTAAAAAGAAAATATGAAAATTGTCTAAATCAAAAGAATAATAAATTAGGAGCTTGTTTGGTAGAGATTAAAATTGAAAAATTAGCTGTTATTGTTGACTTTTATTAGACGAGTGAGACTCAATAACGGCTATATTTTCAATTTTAATTGGATTTTAATCTTAGCCAAACATGCTCCAAATCTATTACTTGTTTATGGTCACCGTTGCATGGATAGAAGATGAATATTTTATTATAAATGGACAGTGACTGAATCGATAGTACTTGTGAATTTACTGTTAAGGGCGTGTTCGGTAGAGATTAAAATCGGATTAAAATTGAAAAATTAGTCGTTATTGTTGACTTTTATTAGACGAGTGAGACTCAATAACGGCTATATTTTCAATTTTAATTGGATTAAAATTCCTCATAAACAAGCTCTAGGTAACATGATTTACTCATATTGATACGCCCTTACAAACATTCTGAAATGATAACCTTAAAAAATTATCTAGATCGAAAATTGTATAATATCCAGACATAGAACATATCACAAGACCAAATGATGACATTCAAATTCTGAAATTTATCATCAGAATTGCAAACAAGACGCATTCTGATTTAGTGTTTTTATATTGAGTCAATGACAACTTATATTAATAACCAAATTCGAAATTTTGACAAATCTATGAATGAAATACAATTTATTGAACAACATATTCAACTCCTAACATATTACCATAAAGTTTTGGCTTCGAAATTGAAACCTTTTTTTGTCGATTTCGCGATTTCTTGGTTCCGACTGAGTGAAGAAAATATAGTCTGATTAAGCAATGGAAGCCATTGATATTCTTTACCCATTCTCGTGAGAATGTATTCATTTGAGACTTTTAATGATTTTTTGCGATTTAAAAAGTTTAGGAATATTTAATGTAGACTTTTGGCGACTCCCTAAAAATATTGGTGTATTCTTATGACCTTTTTTTCATTCATTTTTTTGTGAAAAATATCTATTTTAATTGAATTATAAAATTTTATATAGACTAGTTTATAATTAAATGTAAATATATATTATTTATTTATATATATATTAAAGGTATATTATATTAATGATACAGAATATTAAAATTTATTTTTTATATTTATAATAATAATTACTTATTTAATTAATGTCTTAAATTTTTATTCTTTTTAAAATAATTTTTTATTATATGGAGTGGGAAATGAGAAGGAGAATTGTGAATCATCATCGCGTATATCATAATTTCACAATATTGTACTAATGAATTTTATTTCAAATGAAAGTATTCAAAATCTGTTTGAATTCTTCAAAAATCTATAGACGTTTTAAAATAAAAATCTATAGAAATTTATAAAAGACTTCCACTAATACCATAAAATCTCTTAAAAATTTATGAAATCTACAGAAGTCATCAGTTAAAAAATCTATCAAAGTCTTCATTGAATACGCCTCCTAAGTTTTTTGAATTGATTTTCTTTTTTTGGAAGAGGCTTTAAATGTGAGGCGTGAAATGTAAATTATTCAAAATATTCCAGTTACAAATTGTCATTTGGGCTATATTATTAGAAATTAGTAATTGTTAATATATTTCATACTTAAAACAATATTTTTAGTTTTTTAAACATAATATTTTGTAATAATGCAAATACCAATTTTCCGTAAATTTCTTAGTCTACAATTCTAAACGCTGCCCAATACATAACTGAACCAAAAGCCGAGGCCTACAATCGAGTCCTGCCCAACCAGACGATGGGAAAAAAAAAGTGCGAAAGCGCGTTTTTGCTGTAAAATCTAGAATTTTTGCGTAAAATTAGAATCCAGTTGTGTTGACATCTTCTTACTTGGGAAAAGGATGAATCAAAGCAGCAAAATTAATATAGAGTCAACCTGCCTTTCACTGGGCTATTTTCGTCGTCGTATGTATATATCTCAGCGAACACAAGCCCCTTTATTCTGCTTATGGAGTTTAGCTTTTTGCAAGTCAAGCATGCAGATATTGAGATGAGAAAAATTCGAAGACTTCATGACTAGGGTTTTCTTTAGGCATTCTTCCTTTTTTTCTATTTCCACAGAGAAAAAACTGAGAGATATTTAGAGAGAGGGCTAGAGAAGGAAGTGCCAAAGGAGCAAAAAATATAGAACTTTTTTCTCTCTTTCACTCTCAGAGAGGCAGTTCGAGACATTTGGATTAGGCCTTGTGTCTCCTCTACCTCTCTCTCTTTTTTGCATCATTTTTCTTGTGTTTTGGGTTTATTTTGTGCTTTTTGATACATTCCCATAGATATCTTCAAGTTATTGCCATGATCTAGCGATTTTGAAACGTACAGGAAATGAATCGATTTTCTACAGAAATGAATCTTGGGAGGTGAAAAGGCGAGGTCTTTTTAATTTTTAGAGTGAGAGTAAGGGGAAAACAGAAGAAAGAGAAAGTCATGAATTTCACTGGCTTCTTTGATAACAACGCCGGTGGTGCAAGAATCGTCGCCGATATGCCTTATAGTAACAGCAGCGCTAAAATTAGCTATATAGACAGCAACATGCCCACTGGCACAATTACTCACCCACGCCTTATTTCTCAGTCTCTCTCCTCCAAGCCCACGTTCAACTCTCCTGGCCTTTCTCTTGTACACCCCTTTCTCTCCACATCATATGCATATATTTATATACACATACGTTCATTGTATGCTGATTTTTCTGGGTTTTTTTTTGGTAGCTAACGAATATGGAGGGGCAAGGAGAGGTGGCAAGAATGCGGGACAACTACGAGTCAAGTAATATTGGTGGAAGAAGAAGCAGAGAGGAAGAGCACGAGAGCAGATCTGGGAGTGACAACATGGAGGGTGCCTCAGGAGATGATCAAGATGCTGCCGTCAAGCCGCCGAGGAAGAAGAGATACCACCGACACACCCCTCATCAAATTCAAGAACTTGAAGCGTAAATTTCTCTCGAGAAATCCCTTTTGTCCACTCATTTCAATTCATTCGCAAAAAAATTGTTTTTCTATTTTTTAACTTGGATATGATTTTTATTTTTTCATTTTTCTGTTTAGTCTCTTCAAGGAGTGTCCCCATCCCGATGAAAAGCAAAGACTGGAGCTCAGCAAAAGGCTTAGCTTGGATACTAGACAAGTCAAGTTTTGGTTTCAGAATAGAAGAACTCAGATGAAGGTACAAAAAAGCTGGAAACATTAATTTGATTTCTTGATTTTCCCTTATCTTTTTTGGTATATGTCTTTCTTTCTGTCTTTCTGATTTAGAAATTTTGAGTTCTCGGTTGCTCCAGACACAATTGGAACGCCATGAGAATTTGATACTTAGGCAAGAAAATGACCAGCTTCGGGCTGAAAATATGTCGATTAGAGAGGCAACGAGGAATCCCATTTGTACAAACTGTGGTAGCCCTGCTATAATTGGCGAAATATCTCTGGAGGAACAGCACCTTAGAATTGAGAATGGTAGGCTAAAGGATGAATTAGATCGCGTTTGCGTGCTTGCAGGCAAGGTTTTAGGCTGCCCTATTTCATCTGCTGTGAATTCCATGGGGCAACCATTGCCAAACTCGAGTTTGGAACTTGGAGTTGGTAACAGTGGATTTGGAGGCATAGCGACCATTCCAGAAACTTTACCTTTGGGGCCTCCTGATTTTGGGGTTGGGATATCGAGTCCTTTGCCTGTAGTGCCTCCAACTAAGGCAACAATGAATGTAATTCCAATTGAGAGATCTATGTATTCGGAGCTTGCTTTGGCTGCAATGGATGAATTGGTAAAAATGGCACAAAACGATGAACCCCTTTGGCTCGGGAGCTTGGAAGGTGGAAGAGAAATTTTGAACCACGTGGAATACGCTAGAATATTTACTCCTGTTATTGGAATGAAACCCAAAGGTTTCGTAACTGAGGCCTCTCGAGCAACTGGTATGGTAATCATCAACAGTTTGGCTCTTGTTGAGACATTGATGGTCTCGGTGAGAATTCAACTCGTAATGTTTTTGCAATCTTTCAAGTTTTTCGATTAATTCATTGGAGAAGATGATTAGTACAATACTGCTTTATGTTTACAGAATAAATGGGCGGAAATGTTTCCATGTATGATTGCTAGAACCTCGACTACAGACGTGATTTCAAATGGTATAGGAGGAACAAGAAATGGTGCACTTCAACTGGTAATAATCTGAGTCTTCCTTCGCATCTTCAATGTATTATGTGTTATTTGGTTTAATTATTAGGCCTGTTTATTTTTTGCATTCTCATTCTTCTACTCATTTTCAACCACACATTTTTCAATAAAATAATATTTTCTATTACATCAATAACTTTTCCTTTATTTTTAACCACATATTCTCCATCAATCTACTATTCAATAATACATTCTTTCAAAAGAATGTGTCCCAAACACACTCTTATTGTATCCATGTATATATTTATTAGATGCATGCCGAACTCCAAGTTTTATCACCAATGGTTCCGGTTCGTGAGGTAAATTTCCTCCGATTCTGCAAGCAGCATGCCGAGGACGTATGGGCCGTAGTCGACGTGTCTATTGATACTATCGGGGAAACTTCCACATTGCCAAACTGCAGGAAGCTTCCCTCCGGATGTGTAGTGCTAGATATGCCTAATGGCTATTCCAAGGTATAAATTCTTCCTTGCCGAGTATGTTTTCTTATGTTGACTTGTTTGATATTTCACACAGCTCAAGACTTGTTTCCTTCACATTATTGCGTCACTCGAAAGTAGGCAACTTTTTGCCGTTTTGTGTTAAATAAGTTTGTTGAAGCAACCAACCACACCCTTGGAACTTGGTTGAGAACATTTAATTGTGTAGATTTTTGGTATGCAAGTTTTTTGTGTCAACGTTCTTGATTGTGACTTTAGTTTCAACAAAAGAATATGCTTTAGAATACTATAAATAATTTTTCTACTCATTTTCAACAACACATTTTTGAATAAAATAATATTTTACATCACATCAATAACTTTTCGTTTTTATTCAACCACATATTCTCTATCACATAAAAAAAATTGCATTCTTGGGTTGATAATGTGCACCAATCAAGGGCTAAAAAGTACCCGTAAAAAGAAGCTGACCACCCTTAGTATTGATTATAAATTAAATGGTGCAAAGGACAAGAGTGAGATAATTTCAGCTGAGTTGGCAGCCGCAGTGTGAGAATTCGATTCCTGCCTCTTACAAGGTATGAAATTGGATTTTTTGTGGGCACCAGTATGACAGCTCTTGTACTCTGGCATGTTGAGGCACATCCTGCGATTTACGGTACCTCCTCCATAATGCTCTCGGGACGGATCGGGTCGGGAGTCAACCTTTTTTTATAAATTAATAACGGATTGTAGAGCACTTTAATATGAGGTTAATCAAGAAAATGAATAGAACCCTCCCTAATAGCTAGAGATTTACAATTGGTAGAATAAAACTATGGATTTGATGTTTCTATTCCAATCTGTCGAGTGTCTCGATCAAACCCCACGGCTTATGCCCCTGTTTGGCCCCCATTATTTGACATTTTTGATAGTTGAAAATTTTTGTAATAGTGATTGATGGGAATATATGTGGTGGAAAAATAATGAAAAGTTTTAGATTTGTGTGTAATATTATTTTATTTGATGAATGTGTGGTTGTAATGAAGAGAGATAAAAATTTAATGTAATGTAATTTAATTTAATTGGGGCCAAACAGGGGCTATATATTACCCAGTTCTAGTCTCTTAACGTGGCTGTTTTTTTACTCAATCAGTATCTTGTATATATATATATATATTTTTTTTTTTTGGTAGTCACCGAGCATCTAAGTCGCTGTGATTTGACTTAAGCACGTTTCTCTGAGCCCCTCCACAGTCCACCTTGTGCCTGCAAAAATATTTTTTATACAGATTAGGGTTCTTCGTTGGGTGTGTCATTTTTTCAGTTTGTGGGGTAGATTTTGTATATAAAGGTACTATTTATCTTATCTATTGGACTTTGAGAAAGTCAATGAGAAAGTTCCATAATTTTATGTTGGAAACTAATGTTTAGGTCACATGGGTAGAACATGCTGAATATGATGAGAGTGTAATTCATCGTCTCTACCGGCCTTTGATCAATGCTGGCATGGGATTTGGTGCCCAAAGGTGGATAGCTACCCTCCAACGACAATGTGAATGTCTTGCCATTCTCATGTCGTCTGCTGTACCCACAAGGAATCCTGACGGTAAATCTTGTCCCAATTTTTTGTTAAAAAAATAAAAATAGAACCAGGCCAATCAATCTTTTCAAGTCTCTTATTGAATGAGAAAACTGAAAACCCCTTTTGCTTGTAGCCGTAACTGCAAGTGGGCGAAGAAGCATGCTGAAGCTAGCCCAGCGTATGACCAACAGCTTTTGCGCCGGTGTATGTGTTTCCACCGCTAACAAATGGAACAAACTTTGTATTGACAATTCGGACCAAGATATCCGAATCATGACTCGAAAGAGTGTGGATGACCCGGGAGAGCCCCCGGGCATTGTTCTGAGTGCTGCAACATCTGTCTGGCTACCAGTATCCCCTCAGAGACTCTTTGATTTCCTTCACGATGAACACCTTAGGAGCGAGTGGGACATCCTATCCAATGGTGTCCCCATGCAAGAAATGGCCCGCATTGCTAAAGGCCAAAATCATGGCAACTGCGTTTCCCTCCTAAGAGCAAGCGTAAGTCCTATTCTCCGTTGCATTGTCACAACAGTGGTAAATTCATGTAAAATGTGTGAAAGTTGAGGGCTGATTTGTAATTTTGCAGGCTACTAATGAGAACCAGAACAGCATGCTTATACTCCAGGAGACATGCATAGACGAGACAGGGTCGCTTGCAGTGTATGCGCCCGTTGACATTCCAGCCATGCACGTGGTGATGAACGGTGGAGATTCTACTTATGTTGCCTTGCTTCCTTCAGGGTTTGCAATTGTACCTGATGGGTTTCGTGGGCCCACTAGAAGCGGGGATCCAAACCAGGGAGTCGGTGGATCATTATTGACAGTAGCCTTCCAAATATTGGTTAACAGCCTCCCTACGGCCAAGCTCACGGTGGAATCGGTCGATACCGTCAATAATCTCATCTCTTGCACCGTGCTGAAAATCAAGAACGCTCTTAACTGTGAAAGTTGATCGTGGTTGCAGATTTTTAATCATAATAAGAATAATACAATCGGTGTCTACAAGTATTGGGGGTGAGTCAAGAACGAACCACGTGCTAAGACAACCCTTGGAGGGTTTTAGGAACATTGGTTAGGGTGGTGGTTCGGGTATTGACTCAGTGAGTAGTACCATTTGAGTTGGCTTGAGTAGGTTAAAAACTGGAAGATGAATTTTGACATTTATGTTTTGAATTTATCATTACAATTTGGTCCTATTTTTACTATTGTTCCACTTTAAGGTTGTGTCTAATCAATGTTCAAAAATTGAATAAAAATCGTTGCAACATAGAATAAAGAAGTATTGGGATCCATACAGTTGGGGCTCTTGTGCAGGTTACGAAATAAATGCATACTATGAATATGGTCGGTAAAATAATTGTACCTATCGACAGTTGGGTGTACCAAGAATTGTGGGGTGGGGTGGGGTGGATGCCAAGAAGCGGTCGGGGCGCCCATAGCAAAGCCAAAGAAGCTGCTCCCAACTTACACTGTTGAAATGTATTCAATAAAATAATATTACGCGCAAATTAAAATTTTTTTCTTATCTTTTAATTACATATTTTTGTGATGTCTTGTGAACTTTGGACTTTCTTAGAGCTTGTTTTGGTAACTAAAAGAAGTATATTTCTAAATTTAGAAGTAGACCTACTTAAAAAGTATACAATAGTTTTAAAATAAGGCAATGTTTGTTTCGGATTAAAAACAGATTTTAATTTAAATCAAAGGCATACAATCAATATTAACCACGACTTTCATGTGTCTCACAACTTTTCAACCACACATTTCAAAAATTTCTGTCACAATCTATTAAAAATCTAATTTTAATCCCCAGCAAACACCCAATAAATGTTTACTGGTGAAAGCTATAGAATAAGTTAATTATTTCGGGACTGTGCTTCTTGAAAAAAATTACTTAAAATAAATAAGAAGAAAGTAACCGTCCTCGTAACTTATTTTGGGAAGTGGCATGTTCAATGTTCGTAATTCCTTCAACCTGTTCATACAGAGTGAGCTTTATTTTCCACAAAGGTCAATTCAATCTTCATAAGAGGTATGCGAGGGACCATTGAACGTTTGGCACATTCACTTTGTGTACTTTCCATAATCCAGTTGTGTGAATTTGTGAAACCTCCTTGTTTACATTCACATTCTACAACCACTTATTTCTTATCAGTTTGTGTCTAAAAAAGAAGAGAGAAGCTACGTGTATGTAAAATCATCCAATCGAGTTGTCTAGGTCGCGTGTTTCATTAACATGAGACACGCCTATAAATATTGTTTGTACACGTAATTGTGTGTGAAATGTGAATAATATCTTTGATTTTACGATAAATAATATTTTAGTACGAGAGTCATAACTATATCTTAAATCTTAGCCGTGGAGAATATTTGATCAACGAGGTCATGTCCATGTGGTCCTTTTCAGGTTACATTGAAGAATGAACGTGTGGAAAAGTTCAAATCTTGACTTGATTTAGGACTAGAGATGACTACTTGTACGAATGGGCATTTTTTCCAAAACTGATGAAACTGAATTGAAATCAAATAGAACCGATCAGTTCGGCTCCAGTTCCTCTACAAATTGAATCGATTTTAGGACCATACATCGAGAACCAATTGGTTTCGGTCCGATTTTCGGTACTACTTGGAGAACCAACAGTGAATTCGAATCTCCCAAATTTCTCTTTTTGCTTACACCAAGATAAGCTATATGTTTGAACACTAGATTACAAGAATAACAAATGATTTCATACTCTATTTTTGTCTATTTTCAATTTGACAAGTAATTTCTAATTTTATTTTTATAATTTTTTAAAAATAAAGATCCGGATCGGATCGGACCGAATCGGAATCATTTGGTTTGGTTCCGATTCGGTTCTATAGTTGGATATAGAACCAATTGTTCAATTTCCAAGATTCTCATTGGTATTTGGATCGGTTCGACTCTTCAAAATCGGACCGTGCCAACTCCTAACTACTTGTCACATTAGTAGGCCAAATTTGGGCAATTAAGTAATTTTATCATTTCACTACTTAATTCAAGAAAAGGGAAAATTTGAACCCATGCAAGTGTGAAATTAGGACTAATATGGGAAGTTGTTATTGTCATCTTTTCCAGCAGTATGTGGCGACCAAGTAAACAGCCATGCCGGTAGTTAATTGACAAGACTGCTGTGGTGATACTTTCTTGATTTTCGAGGGTTTCCATGGACGCTTTCAAATAACTATCGTTGAACCTCGATAAACACATGTGTCCCTTTTAATGTATGGACCAAAGGCAAACACGAATAATTGCATTTTGTTCGAGTATTCCCCATTAGTCGAGACATAAACTAAATTAGATAACAATAGACATCGATCTGATGGCCTTTTTGTTAATTTTTAGGGAGATGAAAAAGAAGTGTGTGCAAACATCCTTAAAAGTCCCTTTTCTTGCTCCCATCTTAGTACAATTTTTTTTGGTACATAAAAGTGTGAAATCATGGCTACTGAACAATTGATCCCACAACCTGATAGATTTCGTATAGCCCCCTAATTTTATGAGTTTAGCCTGTTTAGGAACCATAAGGATTCATTGCACAGGTTAACCACTTTCATTTTATTTATTTTTTTGAAATTATAGGCGTAAAAAAAAGTCTGGTATGTGGATATTTAGGCAACTCGATACTTAGCCCTCGTTTGATATAAATTTTAATATAAAGTCAACAATTAATTTTAACCACACGTTTTATGGAACCCACAACTTTTCAATTATACATTTCATCAACTTTTATCAAAATCTGCTAAAAATCTGATTTAAATCCCCCACCAAACAAGGGCTTATTAAATTAGGTTTATCAAAATCTACTAAAAAAATGATACATCTGTTGCATGTGTTATAACGGAAAACTTGCACGGCAATGACGATTTTTTGTGGGTACAAATCGATGTATAAAAGGTATCTTGAAATGTCATTTTCACATATTTTTAAATTAAAGTAGCACATGAGATTGTAGTTACTCAATATCCTAAATGGAGGTACAGTCTCATTCAATTTATACTGCAGTATGATTGCGACTCGAATAGAATCCAACTCAAATTCTGCTCATTGTAAGTGCATTCATCTTGCACTAATATTGCAGTTAAGTCGTCTCCATACGATTGGCAAATGTTACTACACCCCATGGCTGCAAAGTAAGAAAAAATCGTCAAGCCACAATTTTAAACTTTTGCGTCGAGCTATAATTTTTTCTTGTCACATAAATACAATCACACACGCACGTACACAATATACATTCACAAAAATAATTGCATTTCACACATCACATTTTAATCATGTTACTATCAGAGTCACGATAACTACTTCTAATATAATTTGATGGCGGCCCTAAATATAGGCTGGTAGACGATCGCCTCAAGTGGCTATGCTTGTGATTTTATTTCTAGATTTTTCATGTCAGTTTTTGCATGAGGAAATACCTGCAAATGACTCAAAAGAAAATGTCATAATTCATTTTTGGCCTTTGACCATTAAATATGTTTATAAAAAAAAAAAAACACTTAAAAGTATAACTTTGGACAAGTAAAAACCAAAAACACCGTCCACTCTCTCCCTCTTCACAAGAAAACTAACCCTCTTTTTTTTATTATTAATCAGGCTAACAATCGGCCCACCTTTAACAGTTGGCCCACTTTTTTTATTGTTAAATCGGCTGTTGGGCTGGAACATGGGCCAGCCAGCTGGCCCACATTTTTTGTATTTATGATTATTTTGTAATTAAATAATATTTGTATTCTTTAAGTTTAAAAATTTTCTTTTATTCTAATTTCTATATAAAAAATGAAATAAATAATTTTAAATTGATAATTACAAAAATAAAATATTATTTTTTAA